TTTAGTAGAGACAGGGTTTCACCATGTTAGCCAGGATGGTCTCCATCTCCTGACCTCGTGATCCGCCCTCCTCGGCCTCCCAAAGTGCTGGGATTACAGGCGTGAGCTACCGCACCCAGCCAGTTGGGTCTTTTTATCCAGCCTGGACAATCTCTCTTTCATGAAGTTGGTTTTGTTTTTATTTTTTGTTTTAGTTTTTAGTCTGAAAATATTTTATTTGCCTTTTTTTGAAAGGTTTTTTTTTTTTTTTGCCAAATAAAAAATTCTGGATGGACTTTTTCATCTTTCTTCAGGACATTAAATATATTACTATATTATCCATGGGCTTGCTTTGTTTTTAATGGGAAGTGTGTCATTATTCTATTCCTTGCTTCCCTATATGTAGTCTTTGGTTGCTTGAATTTTTATTTTCTCTTCTTGAAAATGTTCAGCACAATTTGATTATGTGCCACATGTGATTTCTAAAACAAATTCTTAACTTAGTCGTGATCCTCTGTATTATGACAGGCTGCATTATCCAACGACCTATGCCCATACTTGGCAATGCTTCTAACAGTTGCCATTCTCTGCCAACTCAAGAAAGGCTCATACATGGCTCTCTGAAGTTTAATTCTTTTTTTAATTTTAATCCTTTTTCTTGCTCTGTCTCCCAGGCTGGAATGCAGTTGAAGATGACAGTTCATTGCAACCTTAAACTCCTGGACTCAAGTGACCCTCCCACCTCAGACTACTGAGTAGCTGGGATTATAGGCATGTGCCACTGTGCCCAACTAATTATTTTAAAAATGTTTTGTAGAGTCAGGGTATCGCTGTGTTGCCTAGGCTGCTCTCAAACTCCTGGCCTCAAGTGATCCTTCCTCACTGGCCGCCAAAGCTCCGAGATTACAAGAGTGAGCCACTGCATCTGGCCTAGAGTTCAGTTCTTTAAATTCATTTGTTTCATACCTCTCTGAGAGCTTATAAAAGGTACAACTTTGTTTACTTCTGGATGAATAACCAATATGTCAGGGTCAGTATCATTTATTATATAAATAATTTTCCTCTCTAAAATTGAAATATCTCCTTTGTCATAGTGGAAGTTATATATATCTGGATCCATTTCTTCTGCATTTATTTTTTCCCTTAATGCAAAGAGCTATTATGTATTTTTATTTTTGTATTTTCTTCTCTTACATTACTTGCTTACTTTTTTTTCCCCCCCTTGAGGCAGTCTTGCTCTGTCACCCAGGCTGCAGTGCAGTGGCACGCTCACAGCTCACTGTAGCTTCATCCTCCACCTCCACCTTCTGGGCTCAAGTGATCCTCCCACCTCAACCTCCCAAGTAGCTGGGACCACAGGTGTGCAGCACCACACCTGACTAATTTGTGGATTTTTGGTAGAGGTGGGTTTTGCTACATTGCCCAAGCTGATCTCAAACTCCTGAGCTCAAGCGATCTGCCTGCCTCGGCCTGTGAAAGTGCTGGTTTACAGGAATGGACCACAATGCCTGGCCTTGTTTATTATTTATGATTGTAAATCATAAATCATCTCTCTCTCTCTCTCTCGTCTTTTTCGTTAAGAGATGGGGTCTCACCATTTAGCCAGGCTGGTCTGGATCTCCTGACCTCAAGTATTCCACCCATGTCGGCCTCCCAAAGTCTTGGGATTACAGGCGTGAGCCACTGCGCCCAGCCTTATTGATTCATTTTAGAGACAGGGTTTCACTCTGTCGCCCAGGCTAGAGTGTGGTAGCATGATCATAGTTCACTGTAGCCTCAAACTCCTAGGCTCAAGTAATCGTCCTCCCTCAGCCTCCCAAGTGGCTGGGACTGTGGTCACGTGCCACCATTCCTCACTAATTTTTTTTTTTGAGACAGAGTCTCGCTTTGTTGCCCAGGCTGGAGTGCAGTGGCACGATCTTGGCTCACTGCAAGCTCTGCCTCCTGGGTTCACACCATTCTCCTGCCTCTGTCTCCCAAGTAGCTGGGACTACAGGCACCCGCCACTACGCCTGGCTAATTTTTTGTATTGGTAAAGACGGGGTTTCACCGTGTTAGCCAGGATGGTCTCGATCACCTGACCTCGTGATCCACCCACCTCGGTCTCCCAAAGTGCTGGGATTACAGGCGTGAGTCACCGTGCCCAGCCTATTTTTTTGTTTTGTTTTTTGTAGAGATGAGGGTCTGTGTATGTTGCCTGGGCTGGTCTTGAACTCCTGGCCTCAAGTCATCCTCCTACCTTGGCCTCCCAAGTTGTCAGAAATACAGGTGCAAGCCACTGTACCTGGCCCCAAGTTTTTGTTTGTTTTTTGACAGGGTCTCGCCCTGTCGCCCACACTGGTGTGCATTGGTGCGATCTTTGCTCACTACAGCCTTGACCTTTCAGGCTCAAGTGATCCTCTGATCTCAGCCTACCAAGTAGCTGGGACTACAGGCATGCACCACCATTCTAGCTAATTTTTGTAGAGACAGGGTTTCATTATGCTGCCCAGGCTTGTCTCAAACTCCTGTGCTCACGTCATCTGCCTACCTTGGTCTCCCAAAGTGCTGAGATTACAGGTGTGTGCCACCATGCTTGGACTAGAGTTTTAATATTTCTAATGCAGGTTCCTGTGCACCAGTCTTAGAATGTTTTGAGCTCTTCATATGTTACCGGTGGGAGTATAAGTTAGTACAATTACTTTGGGAATTAAAATTCTACTCAGACTGCCTTTACGTTACTGGACCCCTGTAAAAGTGAGGAAGTAACTTCTTCAGTTTTGTGCCACACTTTGTTACCTAGGTTGCAAAGCATTTCTGCTTCAGTCCTGAGTCTAAAAGTTGCTCTTGATCTGCTCTATTCACTTCTAGTTTCACCATCATCCTGAGCTTACAGGACGTGACACGTTATTCAGCAGAGGTGAACCTTGCCCAGATACCATGGTATTATTTTCTTCTTGACCCTCTCTTACCACCATAATCTTCTTTCTAGTTTTCTCTTTACTTTAAAAACAAAACCCCCCAGACACTAATGTGATGAGACAGTGAAACAGTATTATGTATAGAAAGTCTTCTCTTTCACTTGGAGCAAGGGAAAGTGGTTCTCCCCAATGGAAGGTCATTAAAGAAGGGATATGCTCAATCACAATGGGCTAAATTAAAAGAACTGACAATACCTAGTCTTGGGTGAGGATGTAGAGCACCTGAAAATCTCACATCTTGCTGGATTTCATACATTGCTGGTGGAAGCGTGATTTATTACAACTTGTTTTGAGAAATTGTTTGGCATATCTACTAAGCCTTGATGTGTGTGTATAATGTGTGTTAACAAATCTGCTCTTGGGTCTGTAATACAGAAAAGAATGTTTATATTCATCAAAATGTGTGTACGTAACAGTTTTATTTGTGATAGCCCTAAACTGCAACTGCAACTGAGTAATGTTGAGTACTCATATTCCTCAACAGTAAAATGTGTGATAGATGGTGGTATATTCATACAATGAAATAATATTCAGCAATACAAAAAAGGCATTACTAATACACATAACAATGCTGCTGAATCTTACTGATACAGCTTTGTTTGAAAGAAATAAAAAACAAAAGATGACACCATTTATATGAGTTTCAGTATCATGTCAAACTAATTCATGGTAATATGCGTCACTATAATAATTACCCTTTGTGCTGGGGATGGTTACTGCTTGGAAGGCAACCTAAGGGAGCCTGTTTTAGTTCTGGAAATGTTTTCTATCTTTATCTTGGTTGTGGTTACACAGGTGGGTTTATTTATAAAAATGTAAAATAAAAAGAAATAAGATTAATGCATTTTACTGTATGTAAATATACCTTAGTACACAAAATTTTATTTTTTTTAAATTCATATTTTTATACATTTCCTCTGATCCCTACCTCTGCCCAAGAAAATCTCAAAGAATCCTGCCCACTGGAATGCAAACTGGAATTACATTATATTTGCCTTGTAAGTTGGCAAGACTCTCAACCTTTATTGATATAGCACTAAGTCTTTTTTTAAAATTCAGAATATGATACCTGTTGCAGTCTTTTTATATCCTGTAAGTTTTAATAATTTTCCTCTTTAAAAATTGTCTTAGATGTATTCTTAGATATTTTTTGTTGTGAACAAGCTACTAATCCATTTATATTTTCTAGGTATTGCGCTGTTAAGTTATTTTGTATATTTATCTTGTCAGCTACCTTGTCAAATTTTCCTATTATTAATCTCTTGAATCACTTTAATAGAGACTCCTGGATTTTCTTATCATCTGTAGGAAAAGAGAATTGTCTTTACTCAAATTTTACTAACTTTTGCATTCACTAAAGACTTCAACCCTGTGTTAAATGGTTAGGGGGCATCCGTGCCTTGTTCTTTAATTAGTTGAAATATCTTAAGTATTTCAACAGCAAATATATTTTAGTCTTTTTATCCTTTGAGTCGATTTTCTTGAACTCTAATTTTCCTAGAAAGTTTTTTTTCTTTTTGGATTAGCTGCAGAATTTTATATACATTTTTGAGATCTAATTTGATATATAGTTGTTTTAATTTTTCATTTTCTTGATAAATCAGTTATTTGATTTCCTAATATTAAGCCGTTCTTGTATTCTTGAAAAAAATGCCTCTTATTATGTGCATTCTTTGTATGCACTACTCGTGCATTATCCTTTTTGATAACTCAGAAAGTTTGTGTCTATGTAGAAGTGAAGTTAACTTAATTTTTATCCTTTTCATAATATGGTTTGAATATTATCTATGCTTGCTTAATTATTGTACTTAATGGGATTGGTAAGATTAGGTTTGTTTTGGATTCTATTGTAAACAAATCTTTGAAACCTAGTAAGTCACTTTTTATTGGTCTTTAAAAATGAGGCAGTCTCTTTTATTAGGCTACAGAGAAATAATTTCAGGTAAGTAATTTTCTTGTTCAGATAGAAACACACACAAACACACAAACTTTTTTGAAAATTTATTTGCTATAATATCAATTTTTTTTGAAGTTTTCATTTTTATATTTTTTTTTCCACAGTCCGTGGTGGATGACTGGATTGAATCATATAAACAAGACAGGGACATCGCACTTCTGGATTTAATCAACTTTTTTATCCAGTGTTCAGGATGTCGAGGTACAGAATGTTGAAATAAATGATGTACATTGAGCCTGTCAGTTCAGCAGTGTGACTTTTACTTCACCTGCCACTAGTCATACATAATTTACCCTAAAATAAAACATTATATGCTGATCTTTTTCTGATAGAGAATATTACTGGTAAGTTATTTAAGGATGTTCCATTTTTGTTCTTGTTCAGTTTTGCTCCTATAAAGTGTAACACATTTATATAGTTTTTGAAATTTTGGGAGGAAATCTAAATTCGTTTAGTAGTTTTATGAATTGATTTTTTAGATCATAGGCTTTTATAATTTTTACTCATATTATTTGTACGTATACTCCATATTAGGAAGTGTGCTGGTTGCTAGCATTCGTTCTTTTATATCCCTGCCAGTATTTGGTAGTCATTTTATAGTTAGGTTTAAATAATTTTCTTAAAGTAATACAAGTAGCAGAATCAGGTGTCTTAAGTTTGCAATTGTAAGGTGATTAAAGCGGAATTTTATTTTTATCATTTTAGGAGATAACTGCTAGATTTTTTTCTCCTCTGGATAAATCTTAAAAGGTTAATTTGTATTACAGGGGGGAAATGAGTTGTTAAATCACCATTCTCTGCTTGTGAATACAGAAGGAATAGTAATCTTTTATTGAGATAACTGACCAAATTGATTTCTTGAAAGCTTGTTTGTTTATATCCAAGTTATCACTTACCATATTGACATAAGTAGTTTATCAAATATTTACAGAGCACCAACCTTGTATGAGATACTCCATCAGGGTATACAGAAGTTATCAAGGCAGTCTCTGCCCCTAAAAAGTGTTAAAGTATGTGTAATTTTTAAAGGCATCTTCATTGTGAGGAACAAAGAGGGAAATACATTAATAGTTCAGCGAAGGGCTCAGTGCCATAAGTATAATAAAACTGGTTACTATTTAATGACTGTGCAATATGTGGCAAGCTGTGTGCTTTACATACATTAGCTCATTTAATCTTTGTTAACAGTCCCATCAGGCAGATGGGATCTTTATTTTGTAGATCAGCAAACTGAGATGAAAGGGTTTAGGTAAATTTATTCCAGATAATACAGTTAGCAAGTGTGAAACTCAAGATTGAGAGTCAAGCCGTGTCACCTGGAGTGTGTGTCCCCAACCATAAGACACTGTGGGAGTAACAAGAAAGAGCAAGGGATGCTGATGCAGCCTAGGCTGTGTGTCTCTGTGTATATGTATGAATGTGGGGAGGTTGTAAAAAAGTATATCCTACAAAAAGCAAACTCTGAGGTGAGATTAAAGATGAGTAAAAGGAAGTTAGAAGGATGAGAAAGGCAAAAGGTAACATATTATGCAAAAAGACCTTAAGACAAGAAAGCATGGTTCAGTCCCGAACATAGGGGGTTCTGTGGCTGAATCGTAGAGCATGGAAATGGGTGAGGATTGGCAAGAGATTAGGCTACTATAAAGTAAGAGAGTTTGCTCATTTTACAGCCTTAAAGTAGGTGAGGCAAGCACTGATGATGTGCTTTATATACATTTTCTCATATAGTCCTATTAATCAACAGACCTGTTGGATTGGGTTTTAATTTGAAAGCAATTAATAGTGTTTAAAATTTTTCCTTTTGAAATTTGTTTTCATGGTTCAAAATAAAAAAGTTTAAAAGTTGTATAATAAGAAGTCTTTGCCTTCCTGCCTTCCCATCCATCTATGCACACTTAACTGCTCTTAACTAGTTTGTTGAACTTAACTGTCCATCTATCTAGTTTTCATGCCTATAAGATAGGAATGTATATTCTTTCCTTCTCCACCTCACCTGTCTTACACAAAAGGTAATGGTGTATAGAGACCTTTCTCCTTCATTTTTCTTTCTTCTTCTTTTTTTTTTTTTTTTTTTTTTTTTGAGCCGGAGTCTCTCTCTGTTGCCCAGGCTGGAGTACAGTGGCGTGATCTCGTCTCACTGCAAGCTCTGCCTCCTGGGTTCACACCTTTCTCCTGCCTCAGCCTCCTGAGTAGCTGGGACTACAGGCTCCTACCACCACTCCCGGCTAATTTTTTGTATTTTAGTAGAGATGGGGTTTCATCGTGTTAGCCAGGATGGTCTCGATCTCCTGACCTTGTGATCTGCCTACCTCAGCCTCCCAAAGTGCTGGGATTACAGGTGTGAGCCACCGCTCCCAGCCTCTCCTTCATTTTTAAAAACGCAGGCTCATTGCATTCCTTTGTGTGTATGTACAATAATTTATTTAACTAGACTTCTTTTTTTTTTTTTTTGAGACGGAGTCTCGCTCTGTCACCCAGGCTGGAGTGCAGTGGCGCGATCTTGGCTCACTGCAAGCTCCGCCTCCCGGGTTCACGCCATTCTCCTGCCTCAGTCTCCCGAGTAGCTGGGACTACAGGCGCCCGCCACCACGCCCGGCTAATTTTTTATATTTTTAGTAGAGACGGGGTTTCACCGTGGTCTCGATCTCCTGACCTTGTGATCCGCCCGCCTCGGCCTCCCAAAGTGCTGGGATTACAGGCGTGAGCCACCGTGCCCGGCTTAACTAGACTTCTATTAAAAGACCATTGTGTTATTTGTAGTGTTTTGCTGTTACAGAGAATGCTTACTGTAATGAGTAATTTTATGTATACCTTATTTGGTCTTTATGAAAGAATATCTGTAGGTAAATGTACTTGTTATAGTAGATACTGCCAAATCGTCAGCTATAGGAATTGTATTCTTCTATACTCTCATCAGTGATACATTAAAATGTCTGCTTTTTCTTAGCCTTTTCAACAATGTGTATTTATCAAGTTTTTGGATTAGTCTTCAGAATGATTTGAAGATACTATTCCAGTCTGATTTTTAAAAGTGCTTTGAAGTTCACGTAATATACAAGTAAGCATTTTAAAGTGTACCAATTCAGTAGCATTTAGAGCATTCATAAATGTGCAGCTGCCATACATTGGGTTGCTGTAACAAGACCGTAGACTGGATGGCTTACAAATAATAGAAATTTATTTCTCACAAGTCTGGAGGCTGGAAGTCTGAGATCAGGGTCTCAGTATCATCTGGTTCTGGTGGGACCCTCTTCCACATTGCGGAATACTAACTTCTAGTTGTACCCTTACATGGCAAAAAAGAGGTTGAGAGCGTTTTCTGGGGTCCCCTTTATAACGGCACTTATCTCATTCATGAGGGTCCCCCTCTCATCACCTAATTGCATACCAAAGGTCCCACCTTCTAATACCATCACTTTGGAGGTTAGGATTTTCGTATAGGAATTTTGGGAGGACACAGCATTCAGTCCATTGTAGCAGTTGCCACCTCTGTCTTTTCTCAAAACTTTAAAAATCTCCCCAGGAAAATACCCTATACCTGTTAGGTAATCATTATTTGTTCTTTTCTCCCCCATCCCTTGGCAATCATGAGTCTACTTTCTGTCCCTGAGGATTTGCCAGTTCTGATCATACCACACAATATGTCACCTTCTCTGTGTGACTTCTTTCATTTAACATATGTTTTTGAGGTTCATTTAAGTTGTAGCATGTATCAGTAGTTCATTCTGTTTAGGACTGAACAATAATCCTTTGTATGTATATATCACTATTTGTTTATCCATTCACCTGTTGAAGGACATTTGAGTGTGTTTCACTATTGTGAATATGGCAACTTTGAACATTTGTGAACAAATACTTGTTTAAGTACCGTTTTTGAGTCTTTGAGGTGTAAATTCTTAGGAGTAGAATTGCTAGGTCATATAATAATTCTGTTTAAACTTTTTGAGGAACCACCAAACTGTTTTCCACAGTGGCTGCACCATCTTATATTCCCACCAGAAATGTATGAGGATTCCTATTTTTCTACATCCTCAACAACACTTGTTATTTTGTAGTTTTAAAAATTATAGCCATCCTACTGGGTATAAAGTGGTGTCTAACTGTGGTTTTAATTTGTGTGCACTTAATGCCTAATGATCTTGAACTTCTTTTCGTGTGCTTGTTGGACATGTCTGTATTTTCTTTGAAGAAATATACGTTCAAGTCCTTTGCTCATTTTAAAATTAGATTATGTGTGTTTTTGTTGATGAGTTGTATATATTATGGATACCAAACCTTTATCAAGTATAGAACTTCAGCTATTTTTGCCCACTCTCTGGGTTGTCTTTTTAACTTTCTTAATGATGTTCTTTGGTGCACAATAGGTTAATATTTTATTAAGTCTGACCTCCCTCCCTCCCTCCCTCCCTCCCTCTCTCCCTCCCTCCCTCTCTCTCTCCTTCCCCTTCCTTCCTTCCTTCCTTCCTTCCTTCCTTCCTTCCTTCCTTCCTTTCCTTCCTCCCTCCTTCCTCCTTCCTTCCTTCCTTCCTTCCTTTCCTTTCCTTCCTCCCTCCTTCCTCCTTCCCTTCCTTCATTCTCTCTCTCCCCTTCCTTCCTTCCTTCCTTCCTTCCTTCCTTCCTCCCCCCTCCTCCCCCCTCCCTCCCCTCCCTCCCTTCCTTCCTTCCTTCCTTCCTTCCTTCTCTCTCTCCCCCTCCCCTCCCTCCCTCCCTTCCTCCCTCCCTCCCTTCCTTCCCTCCCTCCCTTCCTTCCTTCCCTCCCTCCCTCCCTTCCTTCCTTCCTTCCTTCCTCTCTCTGCCTGCCCCTCCCCTCCCCTCCCCTCCCGATACGTGTGTCAAATTTAAGGATCCATTGCCAAATTCAAGGTCATGAATATTTACCTCTATGTTTCCTTCTAATGGTTATTTCTTACAAATCTGGAGGCTGGATTGTATATTTTATATTTAGGCTGTTAATCCATGGTTAATTTTTGTGTATGGGATAGTTTTAATTTGTATTTCTCTGATGAACGAGGGTTGAGAACCATTACTGTTTTTTCTTTGAATTCTCTGTTCCTATCCTTTGCCCATTTTTCTTTTGACTACCTTTATAGTTCCTGAAAAGACATTTTACAAAATGGATCTTAAAACATTTTTGTTAAAGGGGCATAATGCATATTATCTTAATATGATTTACAAAGAAAGCACACTGTCTTTTATGTCAG